CCCCCCTGAACATAAGAGGATCTGCGGTAGAAGTGGTCTCCAGCTACAAGTACTTGGGTGTACACATGAATGACAACCTCAGCTGGAGCAACAACACCACCAGCCTGATCAAGAAAGCTCATCAGAGACTCTTCTTCCTCAGACGGCTGAGGCGAGCTGGTCTGGGAAGCTCAGTCCTCACCTCCTTCTACAGGTGTGCAGTGGAGAGCATCCTGTGCTCCAGCATCAACGTGTGGCATGGAGGCTGCACAGCTGCAGAAAGAAAAGCTTTGCAGAGAGTGGTGAAGGCTGCACAGAAATCTGTTGGAGTCAGTCTCCCCACCATCACAGACATCTACACCTCCAGATGCAGGAAGAGGGCCACCTGCATCATGAAGGACCCCACCCACCCAGCACACACACTTTTTGCCCCACTCCCCTCAGGAAGGAGGTTAAGGAGCATTAAGTGTAGAACCACTAGACTGAGGAACAGCTTCTACCCTGAGGCTGTTAGACTCATGAATCTCTAACTAGAATAATCACTGTGAAAAACCATATCATGTTGCTGCTGATCTGTTTCATGTTGCTGCTGATCTGTTTCAATGTTGATGTGTTCATGCGTGCACATCTGCTCACAGACTCATGTTCATGTTTGTGGTGATGTTCAATGTTTTATGTTATGAGTGCTTAGTGTATATTTAGTTGATGTTTTTCTTAGTTCATATCTTAGATGTTATTACTGTTTTTCTTATACATTTTATTGTTGGATGTAACTGGGACCCTGTGTACATAATTTCGCTCCACCACATGTACCACATGAGGTGCGAATGACAATAAAGAAACTCTGACTCTGACTCTGATAAACAAGGGACTACTGTAAATTTATTTTAAGGCTTTATAAACCTTCCCACACGCTTGCATTGTTCTTAACAATGTTCTAAACTCTAAACGCTCTAAAAGAGTACAACAAAAGAGAGCAAACAGACTGATGCTACGGTAGCTGAGCCAATCGGTGGCAGGGATACAGAGCACAATGCTCTGGTTGGTCACCTTCCATCAATCAGCCAATCATGTGTCATGTACAATCTTACGTTGAAAACCTGCCAAACAGTGAGTCCGCAAAAGTTGAACAGCGAAGTACTGAGGGACTATTGCACCTCCTTACATCAGGGTACATCCATACATCTCCTTATATTCAAGGATTCAAGGTTTTTTATCGTCATTCGCACCACATGTGGTACATGAGGTAGAACAAATCTGTGTACAAAGGGTCCCAGTTACATCCAACATAAACACAAATTGTAAAGAAAAACAGTAATAAGATCTAAGATATGAACTAAGAAATACGCTAAATTAAGAAAACATTAAATACTAATAGTACAAAACAATACACCAAACAGCAGCACGAACATGAGTCTGTGTGAGCAGATGAGGATCAATGATCACAGCAACATGAAGTTATCATCAGCATGAGATCAGCAGCATGAGATCAGCAGCACACATCAACAATCTAGTTGCATTACAGTCATTTTTTTCACAGTGATTATTCTGGTTAGAGATTCATGAGTCTAACAGCCTCAGGGTAGAAGCTGTTCCTCAGTCTAGTGGTTCTACACTTAATGCTCCTCAACCTCCTTCCTGAGGGGAGCGGGGCAAAAAGTGTGTGTGCTGGGTGAGTGGGGTCCTTCATGATGCAGGTGGTCCTCTTCCTGCATCTGGAGGAGCACAGGATGCTCTCCACTGCACACCTGTAGAAGGAGGTGAGGACTGAGCTTCCAGACCAGCTCGCCTCAGCTGTCTGAGGAAGTAGAGTCTCTGATGAACTTTCTTCATCAGGCTGGTGGTGTTGCTGCTCCAGCTGAGGTTGTTGTTCAGGTGCACACCCAAGTACTTGTAGCTGGAGACCACTTCCACTGCAGATCCTCTTATGTACATCAAGGTGCACATCAGGAATCATTTCTGGGGAAAAGCGTTTTGTAACTGGTTTTCTGTCTTGCGTAAAGTGTGGATTTGCTGTGAGCATTTAAAAAAATGTAGATTGTGTCTTATTGTTGATCATGAACTCTAACTTGTGTCTGATCATTTTCAGGGTGCGCGTTCGCTACCAGAAGAGACAGAAGCTGCAGTTTGAGACAAAGCTGGGAATGAACTCTCCTTTCTAACGCCTTCTGACGAGCAGCACTGGAAACTAGATGGATTCCTCAGAAACCGGGATGACACGAGGTGCATGTTCTATGCTGCACACTAATTATCAGGCAGACGTCACGGTGGAGGTTCCTACGTGCATGTTGAGCTCCTTCAGATGTTTGCTCGCTTGGTCAGTTTTGTGAAGGGCAGAGAAAAGAGACGATCCTTTTCACTGCAGAAAACGGACGAAACAGGAAGTGGTTGTAGTTTTTAATGTCCTCGTTCCCACAGCGCGCACGTGACACTCGCAGTAACGTGATGCGTCTTCTACCAGAGCAGCCTTGTTGAATATGATGTCAACGTTTCTTCATTAAACAGAAACATGAGACTGAAGGTTGTGGAGCCCCGCAGCGTGCAAAAGTCATAAACATGTTCTCAAAAACTGAGCAAATAAAAGTGCAGTTTGTGAAATCACTGAAGCTGTAAAAAGGTGCTAGTGTTTCAAATCTAAACTCTTTACACATGAACATTCTCAACTTCTACGACTTTTAATTCATGAGAAATATTTTATTTTAAAATGTCCATATGGTCATTTCCTCCTGAGCTTTTAGCCAATCACTGGCTTCTGTTTAAACGTGACAGCGGTGTTTTAAACCCACTTCAAGCCCAAACTACTCCTTCATATGAGAACAGAATATTGGAAATGTTTCTGGTTTCTGGTTTTGAGGCCAGATTCGTGGCGGCTGTAGCAGTGTTGTTATGTTCAGCACCTCTGCCCCTCACTGTGGTCTGATCTGAGTCTCATTTTCAATTTACAGGATGTTTGCTATCATTACATTGCCAGAGTTTATTTATTGAAGTTATTTTTTCCATCACTAAACTTTAGATGTTCAAGATGTTCATAGTTTATTTTATGTGTATATAAAATGAATTCATCTGTTTTGGTTAAAGCTTTTTACAAGCCTCTGCAGAGCATTTGGACCACTTGAACAGCAGTCTCCAGGTTTTCAGGTTCTTTCAGCTAAATGTCTGAACTCCAGCTGAGTCGCTGCAAAATGTTCATTCTGTCCCGTTAAAGGGACGATTCAGACATTTTGAAGTGGGGTTTTGTGAAAAGGCTCTGAACAAGTAGCTTTGTGCGGTATTTCAATCTGCCATGTGCTGATCTTGTTTTGTGTCATGTTATTTGTTGTTTCTCGTATTTTTTAACTGATCCTGAATCAGCTCTGTCTTGCTGTTTAATGCCAGTTAGTTTGGCAGCGATGGGTTTAGGAGGGACATTTGTCTTCACGCAGGTGCTAATTTACTGTTTGTCTCTGTTTACCTTCATTTTTATTTAGTTCTTCACAACTCTCAGCTGACAGCAGTTTGTAAATCAGTTTTATTAAAACCTGAAAGGATGAATGTTTCCCAATTATCAGATTTCCACATCAACAGTAGTTCTTTCAGTTTATTTGTGATTGTTCAGAATTATAGTTTTTTTCTTTTCCACACAACCATATTTCTTTAGTTTTTGTAAACTGTAAAACAAAAACAGGCCTGAACATTTTTCCAAACACCAAACCATTCTAGAAGTACATCCCATCTTTTTTATGTCTTATCTTTGTCAGAGCCACGTTACCTTTTAAAGACTAGAAGTGTCTCTGTCCTAATCCAACACTGTCATTTATAAAGGTTTGATCTGTTCACAGAAAGATGCTGTCAGAAATATATATACACATTTCTGTGACTTCTTAAAACAAGTTCGACATTTTCAAAAAGCAATAGTTTAAATGGAATTTTAAAAAAGACCCCACCCACTTAAGATGAGATCATTTTTGAGGTTTTGCTTCTGCTGACATGAAATTACACTCTCTAGTCGTCTGAATGTTTTTACTAACTCTGGGAAAATTTATTCTGAAAAAAACATGTCGGTTATTTACAAGCTGATTTTTTTTCTTTAAAAAAAAATATATACACACACACACACACATATT